AACCCAGTATCTGCACTTGCGTACAGACGGGATTAACGAGGAAACTGGCATTTATTTACAAAGTATTAGTTTGTAATGGTTAATTGTGACTGTTAATAATATGCTGTCCATGGCAGTAAATGATAGATGGAATATTATTAACGGTCACTATTACCAATTTAAACAAAATACTTTGTAAATAAATCCTCGTTTCCTCGATAATACTGGTCTGTGCCCAAGTGCAGATGCTGAGATCGGCAAATTCGACTATGTCGGCGCTCTCGACAGGACACTGGTATCTGCACTTAGTATGGGGGCATTTTCACGAGTATGAGTACTCGTAAAAATGCCCAATATTGTCAGTGCATCCCTATTTAAACATATAATGCATTGCTGGGACTATACCGGCGTCTTTTCACCCCGGCATGTCCTTCTAAACTGACGATTTAACATGACTCGAAAAAACCCCACATGAGCAGAAAATTGAACGCTCTGACAGTGCAGTTCACAAAACAACTGTCAAGGTGCAGAGCCAATAATATTGGCTATGTACCATGTGATCACTGTGACCAATCACAATGATCACAAGATTTAAACAATGACTGTGATTTGCAGCTTCCTCTCCCAATCCTCTAACACACTGTTCAGATGTGGGAGGAAAGGGACAGATTTCCACATCGATCATCAGTAATACATGGGCACCATATACACAACATATTTAATACAGTTAAAATCTAACCATGCCAGTTTCATAATATAATAAATATTCAATGAGGAGATGTAAGATCTTGGTGTTTCTTCATGCACTAGTGGGCAGTTAGCTGGACTTACACTTTATATGAACTAAAAGGTTTCAGAAGCAGCACATATGTGGAGCCTCACATTGAGTCCCAAGCAGTATCTGATTGCCCCACAGTACCAGCCTTTAAGCCGAAGGGCTCAATCGTTCAGATATGCACATTTAAAATAGCATGAAGTACCAAACCTGCATATCCGCTTGGACACACACTTGGTCCAAGTGCGGGCACCCAGACGTGTAAGTTTAGGTCTGTGTAAGGAAGTACAGGCTGCTGCATGCAATTGCAGGCAGCACCTGTTCGTCCTGGGTTTTTGCACATGCTGTGTAGATGTACATGCCAGTGTGAATGAGCTCAAAATCAGCATATAATTGCAAGAGTGCCAGCCCCAATAAGTATCTGATTGCCAGCAGTGCCAGTATAAGTACCACACAGTACCACTGTCAGACCCAGTTAGTGTCTAAATGTCAACAGTATGATTATGGTGTCATCAGGTACCGTTACAGGCGCAACTAGTATCATGATTACGAGCAGTATCAGCACGGTGTTAGTAGGTACCGTTACATCCCCACCTAGTGTTCTGACTACTGGTAGTAGCCGTGTAGTGTCAACAGTTTCTGTTACAGCAACAACCAGTGCCCTGATTACCATTAATACCAGTGCAGTGTCAGCAGTGACTGTTACAACCAGTGTGCTGATTGCTAGCAATACCAGTATGGTGTCATCATGTATCATTACAGCTACAACTGTTCTGATTTCAGCGGTACCGGTATGATTTCCAGCAGGTAGTGTTACAACCACAACCAGTGATCTGATTGCCAGTAGTACCAGTACAGTTTCAGTAGGCACCACTACAGCCACAACCAGTGTCCTGATCACCAGCCAGCACAAATACCAGCATCATCCAGTGGCAGCAAGAACCAGTTCTGAAAGTACAAGAAAAGCCACTACTAAAAATGTAAAAGAAAAAGTAATGAGGTGTTTCAAATTCCCAGTATGACTGATGAGAGCAACGGAAAGACCTCACAGTCAGATTCTGATTTAGAGTATGACCCTGTTAAAAGAGGTGGTCCATTAACCACCTCTGATTTAGAAGATGAATACCTCCCAGCTAAAAGAGCTATGTCTCTGCGTGCCATATGAACTAACTTTGGCCTGCATACTGACAATGTCTCTGCCTGTCGCCTAAAGGAACACCTGCATCCCCCTTTGACAACATTCCAGCCAAAACACTCAGCTGTCCTCTGCAGACAAAATCACTCCTGGAACCACAAGTACTGTGTTTTTTTTAAGCTTTGTCCAGCTTTCTGTACTTTCTGGTCACTGAACATAGCATTGCATATAATTCCTGGGGTTAACCAAGTATCAGAAGGCCTGTTTGGCTTGGGGGAATGGGGTCTGCTATAAATGAAGTAACATGGTGTTCCTTGTTTTTTGAGCCCCTCTATGTGGCTAGGCTGGAAAAAAAAGGTCTCACACATGTGGTATCTCCATACTAGTAGCAGAATGTGTTTTGGGGTGTAATTCACGTACGCTCATGCTCTGTTACTAATATTCTATTAATTGAAAACGCTGTGTAAAAAAATATTTTTTTCCGTTTCATTTTCTAAAAAGGTGTGACAAAAAATGGTTGGTTTTACTGTCTTGGCACTCCAGGGTCTACAAAAATGGAACAGGTAGTCAGGGAATCAGATGCATAATTATGCCCCTTGAAAGCCCCAAGGTGCTCCTTGGATTTCGGGCCCCTCTACGTGCCTAGGCTGCAAAAAATCTCCCTGGTGGTATCCCCATACTCAGCAGGAGTAGAAGAATGTGTTTGTGGGTGTAATTTGGAGCATGCCCGTGCAGTTTGTTAGTAATATCTTATTAATTTACAACTTTGTATAAAACAAATACATTTTTATTTTCCAAAAACTTTAAATAAAAATGAAATCTTCAAAGACTCACCATGCCCCATATTAAATAACTTGGGGCATCTGCTTTCCAAAATGGGGTAATTATGTTGGCATTTCTACTTACCTGGCACTTCATGGCCTTCAAAAATGTGATAGGTAGTCAGAAAAACAAATGCACAATGTATGCCTATTTAAAACCTCAAGAGAATTATGTTGGTATGGTGTTACATGAGTGAATAAATGTCAAAGAACCTCAGTGCTGAATATAGAAAAATGCCTGGACAGGAAAGAGGATTAACATCCCGGTCCTCAAGAGGTTAAAAGATACAGATTCCATGTTAGGGACCACCCACACCGCCCAGGAAGCCGCCCACAATAGGATACTGCTTAGCAAACCATTTAAGGGGGGGAAACAACTTCACTGGGTGATTCTAGTTATCATACAACATAGGCTGCAGAAGCAAAATGGTTTCCCTTTTGAATGGTTGATGCAGGCTGTTATAACGGCAAACAAGTGTGGACTGCATCCACAAGGACAGAAATCATGTCCTTTAGCTTAGGGAAAATGTCAGGACATGACAGGGCTCATCAGAACTGAAAAAAATGTCCTTTCTCTTCTTTCGATAGTGCAGTACACATGTATAGAAGAGTCAGAAGGGGTCTCTGAGGAAGAAGTGGGTGTGTGTGGGAGATCAGCCATCTTCCCCATAAAATCGACCATAAGAGCACACTCAGAGTACATCAGGTACACCAGAGGGAACAGAAAAGGACCCTGATGCTAACAGCAAAGGGGATAAGGACCACAGCATGGACTTATCAGCGATGGGGTCCACAGAATTGGTAAAACCCTTGCCAGAGTCAGAGTGTGTGGCTCTAGTAACCCTGTGCCTATGATCCTCTATATGCATTCCCACACAAAACTCATGGACAAAGCTGAGAAGTGTGCCTTGTGCCCAGAAACTGTAGGCATAAAGGTCACCCAGGCTTGAAGCAGCAGTGCTGTGCAGCGGAGGGGCATTGAAGCTTCTTCCCCTTGCCTGTGCGAGTGGCAGCAGGATGCATGTGTCCCGCCAGAAAGCATGCACCAGGAAGAAAAATTACAGGACCATGTGCAGTACAGCTCCCAGGAAGGTGGATATGCAGACACACAAGGGAGACCACCACTGGCACCAAATCCAATGTCTTAAGCTGAACTACCGCTAAATGTGTGACACCGAAGGCTTAACCTTTTAGGTATCTGGGGCTACGGCCCAGGCAACTGTGGGGGCTGAATGAGGCCTGTCCCTGAGAGGCTTTTTGCCCTTACCATGGATGTTCAGTGGTCAGTGAAGACATGCCATCCAAATTTCACGCTCTGGGTTGGCATACCACCCAAGGGGGTTTTCAGGGTTAAAGTTTCATAGATGGACCATGGCCCAAGACCTGTAAATCACCTATGAATAACCGTACATGCTGCACAAAGTGCCAACATCCTTTTGCTGGGGTCCGGGTTTGGTCTGCCAAAGTGAACATTGAGTTGGATAGCTGCTAGGAGTGGCACAGTTTCTTAGAGCAGGATTAGCAAAACTTGAGCTCAGAAAAGTCTTGGTGAAAATAGTCTATAATAGCTCTTCTCTCAGATCTGAGAGATGTCCTTCACTTAAGGACAACAGCAAAAACCTGAGGCACGCCGGGATCGGAAGAGGTTATACAGGACTGTCCTGAAACTTTGATTTTCCCAGCGTCCAATCACCAGAAGAAAGCTGCATTACCCAGTTGTTAAATAATTTAACACCCTATGTCCTGTGATTTACTATCAAGAAATTCAAATATACATCCTTGTAGCCATGGCTCTAATACAGGCATCCTTTACACAACTGTGTACAGAACATCCCCAGATTAGTTCTTCCTGGTCATGTAATTGGCTGACTGTTCTCCAAATTACAACACTGGCAATTACCATGTAATATGAGTAGTTAGATCCACATCCCACTTTTTAAGTAGGGACTGGATTCAATGTGCCAGGTAAGTGCAGGTGTTAAATAAATTACCATTGCACATAACACTGGAACTAACCTTGTGGTTAGGGTTCTGGAATAACTGGCATTGCATGACATATTTTACTTTGGTAACAGCAGGCTCAGCAATTAAGTTTGTGATAATCCTTGCAATGTACAGATTTTCAGAGTTAGTTAGGGAAATCTATTTAAAATCCAGTTACAATGAAAACCTTAATATGCATCATACTTTTCAGAATTTCCCAAATTGCATGATAGTTCAGTACCTAAAACTGGGGCATTCCCAGGGAGAAATGTTCAACTATGTTAACAGCGGAACCAACAGACTGTACCTTCAGGAAGGCCTCCTTTTGTTCAAGATGTTTGCAAATCATAGGAGTGACATGGTCAGTTTCAGAATTTGGCCCAAGTTTGTCAGCACCTCCACACCAATCTTCCTCTCTCTTGTACTCCTGTTCAAGGCTTTCTAGAACACTACATACCTTAAATAAATAAATAAATAAATAAATACATCATAATGTATGTTTGCCAGCTATGAGTATACCAACACATCTTGAGCACACAGGTGATATTTGAATTTTCTCCACTCTAGTCTGTGACTCTGTGCTTGTGCAATGCAACTCTATTTTGTTATGTCTTTGAAGGTTGCCATTCACCTAGGTCAGGGTATAGCTGTAAAAAAACACATCAAGGCAACTGGATTTTCTTGAAGATGTTAAATATAGTGGGTTGAATTTATTAAAGAGTTTATGACTGTTTTCTTGCAGTTGCATCATGTAAAATAATGCTAAAGGAGTGCAAATGATTATTCCGCATTTGCGTCCTTCTTCCTTCACTGCTATGACACTTAAGTATTTGCGACCAGATGGTTACAAATAGCGACAAGACGCATAATCCACACACTTATGTCAGATGGGTGTTCGTCCTCTGCATCTGAAATTATACACAGAACAATTGCATGTTAAGAAGCCCTCAGGAGGATTTCTTAAAGTAAGGTCAGCTGCGTTATCCTGTCATAAAAGTTTTGCACTCCTTCTTTAACTCCTTCCTGTGGAAAACAGTGCTACTTACCCTTCCGCTTTTTGTCTAAACTTTGACTTCCCATGTTAGTGACTGGTATGTGAAAGGGTTAAAGAGAGTCCCCCCCCCCCCCCCCCC